ATCTATATATCCAAATTGCATAATAACAATAAACAGCATACAAAAATTTGCACCTGTAAGAAACTATTCTGTGATGTAGATACACCCTTATACACCAAATTATAGCTGTAAGCATGAAATTACAATGAATTCTGGAACTATTAGGAATTTGTAATTTAAATAGTTTCACTCAATCCCTACTACTCCCACAAGCTTTTAATTAGAACAGACTTTTTAATTAAGTACTCCCATGCACAAAGTATAACTTGATGATTCTTCTATCATATCAGCCTGCCATACAAAAGCAAATAATCATTGTATCAAAGGAAGATATTTCCTTGAAAAACAAACTATAAGAATTCTGGTTTTGTTGTCAAGGTATCCGATTGAAGCTCTGCATAGGAAAAGGAAGTCCCGGTCTCTGGGAGGACCCCAGGGAACAGAGCCAGCAAGGTGGTGGCACCGCAGCACTGAGGGGCATGGGAACCAGTGCCTCTCCTCTGCAAGTCAGAGGGATACAGTCCCCCAGGGATAGTCCGCTGCTTATTAGAGGAAGCCATACAGCAGATTGGACATGGCATTTGGATTCATGTTGATATCAAATCACTGCACTGTAATTTGCTAATTCTGTGAAAATATTGGAGATACTTAGCCCCTTTGAGCCTCAATAGCTTGTTTATAAACGGCACTAGGAATACTGACTTTGTTGAGTTTAGGTTTAAAATCTATCAGTGCTCTGGACACAATGGGTAATCAGAAAATATTACCTATGTGGATAATCATTATTATGGTCTTTATTGCTAGTTTACTTGATCTTAAAGTTCTCATCCGTTTGATGTATCAAGGAATAATCGCTTGGTAAACCTGGCCCAGCATTAGGAACAAACAGGAAAATTATTTTTCTGTGGCCAATGCATATAGAAATAAAAACAATATAGAAAAGAGTGGGTAGGTGTGAGGTTGTCTAGTTAAGAAGTTGAATGCGCAAAGGGCAGCCCTTAAAACAAAACACACGAATAAGCCCTCTGAGTTTCCAGGCGCTAACAGCATTGAACTCTTATTCATGGAGACACTTCAGGGATTTCAGTGATCTCCAGCTAGCAGCTTGTTTCTATGGCCTTCTGGCTTTGCTTGCTGTTGAACAGTCAGGGAAGGAGAAAATATTGGAACCATTATTACATAATGTAAAAACATGGTGCAGTTTGAATTATGGGCCCATATACATATCCTTCTTCACGCCCTTGCCATTTAACTTTCACTCAGGTGGTTTATCAGAAGCCTGAATAGTTGCTGTAACCGAGGGGCCTGCTTTTAGCTCTGTGGGTACGTCCCTATGCGGCTGTTGGCTGTGGATTGCAGAACCAGTATTTTAACTTCTCTGGAATAATATAAAATTAGTTAAAACTTGCTGCTTAAATATTTTGAATTATGAATAACTATGTCTCAATAAAGATGACAAAATTATAAAGGAGAAATGCTTTGAGAGTTAGGCTCTGTAGACAAAGGAAAAGAGAATCACTCTAATGTCTGTTCATGCCTCATCTTTTCTGTTTCCAGTTAATTCTAAGGCAAATGATCTCTGATATCTAAATGTGATTTAATTATGGAAATGTCTTAATTGTAGCAGGTGGAATTTATTTTACAACTGGAATCTTCAAATGCTTGATGCATTTGTCCATCTGTTAGGAACATTAGTCAAAAATGTATAGAGACACAATGAAAAATGGAATTATCAAAGAGTGAGCACATAAATATACTGTGTATAATTTCTATAAGCGTATTTTATATATGATGTATGGTAAATATGCCTATAAGTTAATTATCGCTATATTTTTAATGGATTTAGTTTCATTTAAAATTTTAGATTCACAAAGACCTCAAAATTTTTAACATGCTACAGATAATTCCTTTTATTACTTAATCATATTGATTAATATATTTTTCCAAATGATTAGCTTTTAAGACTGCACTAAAACTTTTAAAGAAAGAGTGGTGCTAACGCATTCTCATTCTGACACTAACAGGGAAAGAGATATGGCCGCTGCTTCAGTGGGTCTCACACTGTAGTAGACCCCTGTAAGGCATCTTTAAAGTGAGACTGGTGCTATGGAATTAACCCTTGGGGTGCTGGCATTGGAGAATACATAGGAGAGCTCATTTAGACAAGTGCAATAAAAGGAAGAGCAGTAAAGTACATGGGGAAGCAGGAAGTACTTCTGTTCTTGGCTGCTAAAAGGAAAACTAGGCCCGAACGCAGTACAGAGCTGCAGAGCACGAAGCAGTGCCGGGGCCATCGAGTAGGGGGAGAATGGTGAAGGATGAGATTAGAGAGGGAAGTTAATACTGAACTAGGTGGTACCTGGTAGACCTCAGTGAATTTGGCTAGTGGATGTTTTAAAACAGTTTTTCATACAGAACGAATTATTTTTACATATCCACTCTTTACTATTAGATTTGTTCTACCTAATATGCCATAGACATCACAGATTATAAAACTATTTTTAAGATTTCATTTTTTTTGAGTACAAAGATTTAAAAAATTCATGGTGAGCACTAAAATGTTACTTGTGAGCATATTATTTTTCCACAGATATTGTAAAGGATCTTACTAATGGAATTTGAATTTTGGAGAAGTTGAGAATATCTTTTTTCCCTCTCTAATCTTAGAAAACATTGTCTATTTTTTAAAAACTAAGAATGAGAATTATACTCTTAACATAATTGAATATACAATAGAAATAATGTGACAATTAAGAGAAGAGAGAAGTAGGGATAAATTAATTAAGGACTAAGAATTTAAAAATTTTGGTGAATGTATCAGCCAGAGCTCTACCTCTTTGGTTACTTATACATTTTCTATTACTAGACATTTTAAAAATATATTACTTTATGTATTAAAAATCATTAGGATCATAACCATCATCATAAGAAGGTCCAGTTTTTAGCTCCGTGATACTAAATATATGAAAGACTAGTTTTAGTTTATTTTTATAATGTCAAATTTATTAGGTATATTTACAAAATGAATAATTAAAACTCTTGCTAAGCTGAAACTAGAAATAGTTATATATTAGTTTATTTATATAATGTAAGTAAGAAAATCATAGGTTTATCCCACAGGTGGGTGCAATCAAGCTAGGCAAACAAAATAAATCAGGCCATGTTCCATGCAAAACAATAAATATTTCACAATATGTTAATATGATATTCTCATGCGTTTACTTAGAAATCTTTGTCGAAATTATATGACTTTGAATTACTCTTTGTTTAAAGCTTGATTTAAAAACTATTTTTACTGAGTATTACTGCTGCTGCTGAGTTAGAGTAATATTTAGCATCACTGAAAGTATCACTATCATTGGGGACCAAGGAAGTAATATTTTTAGACCACTTTTCTAGGGTGATTATTCAGCATAGTTTTTGCATGTACTTAAGTCATTGTTCAAAAATAGAATTTAGTTAGAGTAACATATTTTCATTGGTGAATCTTAGATTTTATCTTCTATCCAAAAGTGTATGCTATTTAAGGTGAACAGATTTTCATTGTTATTATTAGATATTTTTTATATTGAGAAAAACTCTGATATGATTATCAAACTGGAAAGCTAAGGATATCCACAGGCTTTCAGTGAATATTATCATTATCCTTAAAGGTAGATTATTTTTAGAGAAGCAACACTTAACACATCTTACTAGAATTTAGCCAATATGAGACTAATCTCATGGATATTCCTGTCTATGCTGCTGAGGGCAAGTGTGGATTTGGGATGTTAACAATACAGTAAGTTAAATATATATATTTCAATAATCACATGAAACTCTGATTTATGCAGCACACATTTATTGAATATGTACTAGGTGTTTAGGATATATCAATTAGCAAAACAGAGTTCTATGTCATTTTGGAGTTAATATTCCAACCATACAAATTAGGCGAAGATAAAACCTGTGATAGGGATATATATTGGGGCACACCAATATTTCAATGAAATAAAAAATGATTTAACATTGATTCTAAGATCCATACTAATTACTGTATCTATAACTGAGTAAGGAAAAGCACTTGATTAGCTTAATGTTGAAGGTAAGATATGCAAATATTAGAGTAATCTGTTTCTTGAATTTACTGTAAGTTATTTTTTAATTCTTCAACCTACCAGACATTTACATGGCAATCTTTCCTTTTTGACTACCCTCTATGATAGTTTTAAAACTTGAAACTTAGACATTTTATACAAATGTATCTAAAGTTTAGACCACACTACAAATTAAACCATCTACAGCAAGTGACATTTGAAAAATAGGCTTATGTTTAGTTTTGTTTTCCCTCTGGATTTTTAATTTTCTACTTTTTTGTTTTTGATTCATTGAAATACATTCATTGCATGTGTTCAATATTTGCTTTTCTTTTTCGCATAACTGCGTGTTTCTAGATTAATGAAAGTTAAGTAATATGTTGCCATCTTAACATTTAATTGTTTGGTTAATCTCATGTCAAGGGGGAAAGGTTATAGTTCATTGACAGTGATGAAATAAGCTAGGTGGCTTTCATATAAATAGCAACAAATTTGCACAATAGTACATTACATGGTAAATTTAACACTGCTGAGGAGTAATATGGAAACTCGGTGTTTCGTGATGAAGATTCACCTGAATGCATCCAGAGAAAATTTAGTTCTGCAAGCTTGAAGGAAGTAATTGTCATTCAACAGAAATCAACTAGCTTTGCATATCAATAAAATGCACACACATATTCTTATCTATTTTTCTGAGTGCTCTGGAACTGATATCAAAATAGCAAATATATATTTATGAGAACTAGAAATGCTGTATTCTTTTTTATCACATAAACTTCACATAATTATGAAATTAACTTTGAGAATATATGGAAAGTGTTACTTTGTAATCAAAAGAAGAGAGAATCAACCCCACAAATTTTGCATCAGGCTACTTAGTTTTTATATATTCGTAATTGTTTCCCAAATGTCATGTCATTAATTATTTTTATTGTTTATTTTTAGATGGACGACTGTATTTGAAAACTACTGTCATGTACTGAATCTTTCCTGTTGAAGAAATCCATGTTATAGTAAAGAACTTTGCAGTCAGACATTCATCATTGGAAAAATCAGAAAAAAATAAAGTCCTTTTAAGGGAACTTCCTCAATTTTGTGTATTAATGTTCTTTAAAAGTTTAAGTATTCTACAAAAAAAGGGGGTTCCTCCATTGATTTTCACCTGTGGTTTATACCAGAGACCTGAGAATGTTTATAAATGTACAAGTATCAAACTTCTTAAGATTAATAACTGCAACTTTGCTGCTGGACACTTGTATACAGAGTTAAAGGCCGGTCTGTACAGACCTAGCTTTGCTTTTTCTAATGGAATGAACCATTTTCCTCTTCCGAAAATTCTGTATCTGAGCACATCAAGAGACTCTCGGAGCAGCGGTCACCCAGACTTAACAGAATTATGTCCTCCAGAAACCAGCAAGAACACTTGGAAATGAACTTGTAGGAGGCATAGAGGATTCCTTAAAACTCAATACAATAAAGAGTGATATTCTGTTACATTCGATTTTAAACTCTCTAATTGTGGGTTTTCTCTTGAAGATGTTTTTTCAAATACTTTCCAAAAGACCAACAAATGGATGTTGACAACAACCCAATGAAATAGCATTTTGCATATCTGAAAAGAAGCATTGAATATAAGCCAAAAGGTTTCACTGAAGGTCTTTTTCTTTAAAAAAAAAAAATGAACAAACAAACAAATGTAATATGTTTTCATTCCAGACTGGTGGTGGGATGTAGAATTAAAAATAATAATGATGCTTCTTCTTCAAACTGTTGGTCACATGTACAGTATATAAACATAAAACATACAAGGAAGGTATTATGTATGCAGTAGTATACTAGAGTTTAGGAAAATGAAAATTTTAGAAAATGTTTTGTCACCCTGTTGGTCAGAAAGACACCTTTCTGGTTTTAACGCATGCAGGCATGTAAATATTTGTCTGGAGTCACAGTATTAATGAATGAGATCTTAAGCATCTGGTGACATCAGAACTCTGTGTCAGCCATTTTTATTTGTATATTGAACCTTAGTTAGTGCCCCAAACTGCACTATTGAGAATGGGTTGTGGCTGAACAGTGAATTGAAACACCAGAAATATTTTTATATGTTAACGTCATATTATGTTAATGTTGCTGAAAAACAAAACTTAACAAACCCTTGATGTATCAGTCCAATACCATGTAGCGCTGAGTGATAAAGTTAAAATGTGTTGTGCTTCCCACCCTGGTCAGAGGGAAGGGTGCCTACGTGTTATTTTCACTGTCTTTTTGAAAGTTACAGTATGTGTTTTCACTTTGTGCAGATAACTGGAAGTAAAGCTGCAAACAGTGCTTATTACATGCTGAAGTTACCTTCTGCTTGTTTTTACATATCTGGAGTTACACCTTTAAAGACTGATATTATAAATCAGTACAGTTGCTGTACATTTTATGAATTTGCTGTCATCTTAAAATTTTATGATCATAACATTATTTATTACCATAAGCAGCAAAATATTAAGTGTCCAAGAAAACTAGCTTAAAATGTTTAAAGAGTTTGAATTGGGTATTAATTATTCGGTTAAGAGAAAAATATTATAGATAACTCTGGCACTAAGCTTTTATAGTTTTTAGGTCTTCCTTGCAATACTGGAACATACTTCTTTCATGTAGCTCACTATTAACCAGCTAAGTCCATTTTTTAATATAATAAAAAGGTTATATATGCAGTTCCTATTTTAGCTTGCTTAAAGGGAGCAATATTTTTATTTAAAATACTGTTAGTAAATGCTTTGTAGAAACTTGGTTTTCTAAGCATAGTTCTTCCATTAACCATCTCTTGTTTGAGCACAAGAGATTCTAATCCTAGTTGTATCTATTTCTTGTTTTTCCCTATATGCAGTCTTTAAAGGATTACAACACTTACAACTGGAGGGACTTGTGGCAAGCCTTCGAACCATACATTTTTTGAACAATTTTTTAAAAAGCCTACAACGTACATATGTGATAGAAACAGCCATTGCTCTGCTCCTTGCATAGAGTCACCTGTTAAGTAGGTTACATAGTTTTAAAATACACACTTTCAAGACCTTTGAGAATGCTTCGGTATTTGGTTTGACATAAAAGGAAATTTTAGCAAGTATTCTAAAGAAAAAAACTATCACTTTGTGTTAAGAGAGAATTTTACTAACATTGGTGTAAATATTACAACTCATGAAATGTTATTTTAAGTCTGTAACTTAAGTATTTCCTCCCTTTTTTAGTTATACAGGTTGGTTTGAAATTTGTTTTGGTATAAACAAGTAAAATTGTGCCCATTTTATGGTTTCCATGCTTTTGTAGTCCTAAGAATATTAATGTCTAGTTGTTCTATGTTATAACCACATTTGCGCTCTATGCAAGCCCTTGGAACAGAACATACTCATCTTCATGTAGGACCTATGAAAATTGTCTATTTTTATCTATATATTTAAAGTTTTCTAAAAATGATAAAAGGTTATTACGAATTTTGTTGTACAAAATCTGTACAAAAATCTGTTTTTACATCATAATGCAAGAATTGGAAATTTTTCTATGGTAGCCTAGTTCTTTGAGTCTGGTTTCAATGTGAGAACCACGTTTACTGTTATTGTATTTAATTTTCTTTTTCTTTTCAACAATCTCCTAATAAAACTGTCTGAAATCTCCCTGTGACTTTATTTACAGTTCGTCTTTATTAAATTTTGTGAAATGCATAGCATTGAAGGAATATTTACTTTCTAATGGGAGGCATCTAAAAACAACATAAGTCAGCTCTTTGCAGTGTGAGGGAACAATGCTCAATGATTTTATTTAACATGCAACTGCTTCTATCTCTAATATGAATTACTGTGGTGAAAAACATCATAAAAGCACACTCTGTAGTTATTGTTTAACAAGCAGATTTTCCATATTTTGTTTCTTGCCAGCTAAGCAAACTGCCCACATATACATGATTTATTTATGTACATTTCTCAGTTTATGAAGCTGTTATTTGTACCTTTTTTCTTTATATTCTTATATTCCCATGATTCTTATTTCAAAAAGCATTGTGCTGAATAATGTAAAGTAGACATGTTGATGGAACGAAATATATTATTCCCATATCTATGAGTGTATATTTGTAATTCTAACTCAGTGTTTTGCTTTTGATCTCTATCACTGGAAAAATGCCTTTAGGAACTTTGAAATTACAATATCATTTAATAATATATAAACACTTTAATTGATCCAAAATTCAGCATTTAAGAAATATTGGGTTGCTATCTCTGTGAATATTCTAAACTCTTCCAAAGGAATGGAAAATGGATATTTTTCCTCTCTAAAGAAGTTATTTTAATAAATTAATAAATTATGATCTTTACCTAATAAACACCCAAAATTTTATGTGACCATTACAATCACACTTTTGTCTTCTGTCACCATATATTTATGTCAGTAAGACTTGTACTGGAACAGCATACAGCCTCTTGATGTTAGTAGAATTTGGTGATAATTTAAGGTTTTCCCAATGTGTTTTCATTCGGACTAGCAAATTTACAATCTGCACAAAAGCTATTTATTACTAGAGGGAAATAAATTATAAATAAAAGTTATATGAATTGCATTTTTAAAATATGGGAAGTAGAGATGTTAATAGGATAAAACGTATTGTAAATGGCATTGTAAAATACCACTTTTCCTCATGTGTAGGCTTGGTGCTAACATTTATCTTTAATATGTACAACTGGTATATAAAAGCTGAATTGATCCTCGTTTACTCATTTAAACAGATTCATTAATAAAGCCTCTATTCTGCACAAAGCACTGTGCTAGATGTTGTAATGACTGACATTGAAACATAGCTGTTGTCCCAGAGGAGCTTATACTTCTGTTGGAATCAGATCTTACCTTCTGGAAAAAAAGATTCATTGAGAATCTTCTACTCTGTAGTGAACGTGTTGCTGGCGTGGAGATGGTACTGATTAGACACCTCCCCATTAAGTGATAACAATCTAGTGACCCACATTGTACATTCACCTTCTAGAGAATAGTACAACATATTTGGGGTGTCAGACATTGTGTGTGGTTTAAGAAAGTCATGGATACATTTTCCCATAGGAAAAACACAATACTGCTGGAGTTATTTTTTTTCATGTTATTTTTCATTTATTTCAATCACAGCATTCTGACCAATGCTCACAAACTTGTTTTATGGTAAGTAGCCTGTTTAATCACAATTTTTTTTTATCATTGACAATAAATTCTTAATATACAGAATATTGAGTATAGAGGTACAATATTCCATTTTTATCACCCCGCATCTATGTACCTAGGGTAAGTAATTGCCTAAAATGACTTCAAACACTGAACATAAATTCCTAAATGCCGAGTAACTGTGTTAGGTAATGAACGACCCTTGTAGTGGCGGCATCATTTACATTTAGAGGTTAATGAGCTGGAGATTTTGAGTTAAACTCTTGGATCTGTTGGGACTCCTTTGGTGGGATGTAACAAAAAGCAATCCCTGCAAAGTTAAATACCAAAAGAATGCAGCTGGAAAGAGAGAGAGGTGCACAATTCAGAAATGTAGTCAGCCCCGAGGAACCAGGGGCCCCTGACTACCTTCACCTTCCTTCTCCTCAGTGACTCTGCTTTTTTCTCCTCTCACTGCAGGTGCATTTGCTTCTCTTGTGTATCTCGTGACTCCTCTGTTATTCCGGAACTTAATAGCCAGCACACAGAAATAATCCAGTAATTTTCTTTCTCCTGTCCCAAATTAGATTGCCTGAGAGTACTGATTACCTCAAGTCAGAGCACACACCAGCAAGGTAGCGAAGCGGTACATTAGATGTATTGGGGGAAATTTTAGAAACTCCTGTGTCCAATTAAATTTTCATCTCTGGGGGTGGGAGCTAGGGCATCAGTATTTGTAAGTTTCTTGGGTGGGTCTTATGAGCAGCTAAGTTTGAGGAGCACTGTCTGGGAAGGTGGAAAAAATACCACATTCGGGAAAACTACTTA